TAGCAGCCTCTCGTCAGTTAAACAGCGAATCGCCGTGTAAGGTGAGAAACGATAGGGTAGGTGAAACCCATTTATTCGTGTTGTGATGGCGCATGGAGTATTGCCACCTGCTAGGAAATTTCGTATAGAGAAGTCCTTAAATTGCAAGCGGTAATGTTATCGAAGTTGTCTCTTCTAGCCATATACGAATTGACGTGTAATCATTAAGCAACTTTGACATTGACGGCCTTCTTTATTCAAAGGGGTGGGTCGCTTTCGCCTTTGCAAGAGACTTTCATGGGGCATTGTGACTTTTTCTCTAAGGATCGAACTTATGGCGCTTGAACTCACTCATTACCTGGTGTTTCTCCGATGCCTGTCCACTAACCTCTGTATCTACAGGCTGTCCCCTTTCCGTAACCGGAGACGCGCCAGATGGCCAACAGCTTGATACACTAGATGTACAGTACTGTATTGCGCCCGACATTTCATGTCTCAGTGGATCTGTTTTCCCATTCTCAGAAAACATATGGTATGAACAGTTGACAAATCGGCTTTCTAAACAGTTTGACTTATGTACCATACAGATCGTTTCTGTATCATCCCAGAGGTCCGATGAATTGCAAATAGACCATTATATGTGGAGTAAGGTTTTAAGACCATTGTCATAAAGTTTTAGAAATTATTCCAGTCCTTCCTTTGGAAGTTCCTAAGCATCATAAATAGTTAATACAATTTTGTACTTTTGAAACAGCTTAAGATCTGTAACGAAAATGTACTTTTAGTACGCTAAATATGTTAATAAGCTTAATGTTACGGATTTGCTTGTCGTTCTAACATAGCGTAATTGTTTCAGCCTGTTTAATTTGTATCTTTTTTATAAAAATGCTGTTGAGCAGCCGAAGTTCCCTCTAGATATCTATGACCAAGGGGAAGTTAACCTCATTTTAGATGTTGCTTCTACAGTATATATAGCGTATCGGCGGTTGAAACCTCATTGACAATGAGCCGGGTATTGATGTGCCAATGAAATAATGCTGGGTGCATATGCGTACATTGTGGGTACTAAAATTCTGTGAGCTGTGAATTGTTTCTGGCACCTCACATTCTGTGTCCAGCTGCTCACCATCTGATCCCTTCCCCGGTAGCTGTCTCACTCGTTAAAGGGGGGAGGTAAGCTTAACAGCTCTTCATGACTGCCCTAGAATAACGAAGTCTAATAGCAAGAGTGAATTTCCAGAATGCTAT